TGTGTGTCAAAAGGGCATTTCAAAAAGGTGAGGGTTGAAATGGGAGTGGAGAATCAGAAGCACTAACTCCTGCTGTTTCCAGAAAGATCCTGTGTCCCAGGAGGGCCGTTGCATGGATGTAGATAAATGGCTCATGCTGTTAGTGGGAGGGGCGTGTGCTAAAAGCTAAGCCGTGTGATCTCTATGCACCCATCTGCCAACACAAACTTGGTTATATTCCTTGCCAAGGCTGAAGTGTCCCTGCGGATAAGAGGTTATGTTTTAGAAAATGCCCTTTTACTGTCTCATTGCCCCTGGACAAATCCAATAATGCCAATCTGAGAGCCGTATTGCCAGAACGTCAGATAAAGCTATATTCGTAATTCAATAAAGAGATATCTGCCAGCTGGAGGCTCCTGGGAGAGACTGGTGCCCTTGGCAGTGACTTTGGAGCAGAGCTGATCCATCTTCTTCAACACTAAAGTCCTGGTCTGTCACTGCTGATATCATGTTACACACTTTCATACCAGAAATGGGTACAAATGATGCATGGTCCAGGCAAATAGAGGTCATATAGATCAAAGATGTTGAACTTGAAATGGAATATATGAAGACTTTGACTTTTTGAAGGAAGAAAAGTTCTGTTTAGATGCCACAAACTTGAGTAGGGGAGAGAATTTTCACCATGATCCAATGCTCACATTTTGGCTATATCATTACACTTGCGGACATAATTACTTAAAATCTTTAACATGATTCTTTGGTGTATTCAAGCCATAATAATCTAGTATCTTTATGATACATGCTTGCTTATGCTTGGGGTATAATACATGCATCAATAGCATATTACATGCATGTGGATGCTGATCTACCAAACAATCATTTTACAACCACCAGTCCACAAAACCCCTGCATGCTCCATGATTGGCATCTCACATCTCTCATTGTGCAATTTTCCAACAGTAGACAGGTTCACCTTCATGGGCATGGCAGCTTGTCAGGAGAGTTACACTGGTATAATGATATCATTACCAGCCATGCATCCAGGGTATCAATGGAATTACCACAGCTGTAGCCCTGAGGAAGATTGATTCAGTTGTAAAAAGTTGAATCAATGAGAAAAAGTATGTAACACATAAGTTATGCGAAATACTTTGGTAAGAGGTAAAAAGAATATATCTATCATAATATTACATGTATAAGCAGTAATTTATTATGCCAGTGAACCAAAATAAAATCCTCCCAACATACATTGCTATTAAAGCTTATTCTGATGTCAGTAGCATTTTCTTCTAAATTTGTAGCAGTTAGTGTAAAAAAACAAAAATCATGGTATGCAAACAAACAAAAACAGGAAAGAAAACTGTACAAATGCCAGTCCACTTGTACAGGCTAACAGAATGCCCTAATGCCCCCACACAATAAAAGTGTTGCTCCAGCGTGGCATAAGCGTTACAGCTCTGTTGTTCCTTTACTAGCCACTGCACCAGACTTTGTTTAGTTTTCAGCACGATCTTCTGAAAATATTTAGCATTCCCAGCCGGCCCGTACGTCTGATCCCATTGGTCGAACCTCTTCAGAGCCCTCTTAACCCACTTCAACTTGACACTGAGCTAGTTGAGTAGTCTCGGGTACACTTGGCGCAAGGTTAAGGTAGATTTGGCCTCTTCTATGGGTTGAAGGGCCCCTGTTATTTGATTGATGGGGCGGAACTCTATGGATTTGGTTCCTGAGAGATGTTTCTGAGAAACCGGGCGAACTTGTTTGTTGTAAAATCCAAATTAATGGGAAATTGAGCTTTACAAATTCACCAGTCAGACAAGGGTTGCAAAAGATGGATCTATCAACCCCACCCACACACTTGAACACCACAGAGAGGATCAACGAGGCCAGGCATCCAGTCTCCATTTTACTTCCTTCAAAATATGATGAAATAAATCAATGCAAAATTATACCACATCATTAATAAAGAGGCTGATGCACCCATGCATGTAGTCACTCTCCTTGTCTGCCAATTTTGCACTGAAGAAATGTCAAGTTGAAGCTTTGATTACCGGTATCCTGGATGCCACCTGTCCAGCATATATTATACATGTATAGCAGTATTTCTATAAATTATGTATTATCAAGTCTGTGTTGTATGTCCTTACATCAAAAGTTAAATAAGGTAAGCAAAGTAAAGGAGCTTCAACTTTGTATTGTTACTTACCATCCATCACCCAAAATATATTAAAGCGTAGGTCTTTGTGGTAGGTTTTAATATGTCTAGGTTGGGAATGTTATAGGATGTGTATGCCATTTCATACAAGGGTTTCATTTATCTTAGGGTCTTTTCTTTTCATGTGTATGACAAGCGTAGGAGTTGTATTGGCTTCCATAACATTGCCCCTACATTGCCCCTTCCCTTATCACATATAATGTCTCTGACAAAGCATCCGAGGATGACACGGGAGGCTCTGTGAATGTCACGGCTGTCTTGTCTCCATTGCTAGTTCTGCTTGTCGGGCAACAGAGAAATAATGGTAGAATTCCTGTTTGGGGGGACCACCTGTCCTAACAGGCATTTAGGAATGCAACAGGAACCTTCATTTAACTCCGACAATGAAAGGATGTTTTGTCCTTTAGTGAGTACACAGTTGGGAAACCTTCAGCAATGCTTTTAGATGTCCTTCTGTGAAGCTTTCTGCACAATTCATGATAAAATGGTGGCATCGGAAACCAAAGTTCCAAAATTTGCACCAGATCAGTTTTGTACTTATTTTCAACTAAGTAAGGTGCAGAACTTGGTTGAAAAGTGACGTAATCTAGCTGAAATTGTATTTTTGACAACTGTAAGATGATGGTGAACATACATGTGTACACATAAGACATCATGATTCTAATTAACCTTGAAGTGATCGAAAGCCAGATGTGTCAAAAATGAAACAATTGTATTTGTCACACAGTTGACAAACAATAATCATTACAGGTCGTTACAGTCGACAAACAATAATTATTACGGGTCGTTACCTTGTGTTCACCCTCTGTCACATATCAAATGTTTCTTCAGAAAGTTTTAATTACCTGAGAGCTTAATTACTTGAGTGAATTTGCCAAACTCAAAACCTCTGCAATTAAATAGCATCATTCTAGATATTCAATACTGAGTATGAAAATCTTAGTTAAGAGTTGTAAGTGGCATTAACTTTCCTTGTGTGGAGCATTTCTCTATCCCACTCTTGATACACAAAAGTAATCAACCACATCTTTGTGATTCTTATCTGTTATTGCCGTGCTTATTTGTATGCAAACATTGCTACTACAATCCCTCCCCTCAGTTGTCAAAACATTTACATATTTGTTGTTCCCTGGGTAGCTACATTAGTTCATAATATGGTTGAGCAGCTCCCTGTATGTGTTTAGTGCCATGTCTTTTGTGCGATCCTTATCTTATGTCTGAATGGTGGTGTCTTTTTCTCATTTGGATCAAAGCGGTGAGTTGTTTATCAAAGTGTTCAGACCTCCTATGTAGAAAGGCCTCTTAACTGGGGCTACCTGAGTGAGCCAAGTAATTAAAGAGTGGAACTTTACAATCTATGCAGAGAAAGGGAAAATTTTGTTTGAAAATGGAGTGAAGAATTTGTAATCAAATCCATGAAAATTTGAAAAAAATTTGAATGAGAAAAGAATTTAAAGATATTCTGATATACATGTATGAGGACATGAGAGTATTGGAAAACCTTATCGCTGTATCTCTTTTTGCTCAGCGTACACATAACAGACACACAAAGTAATATCTGCACCATGTTCAGGGACTTACTAGTCATTACAACGAGCTGATAACTGTCTGTGCCATAATATTTGTCCTGTCTATCAGACTGGATGCAAAAGCAAGATTCCTATCGTCTGACAATGAAGAATTATTTCATAATTGCCAATAAGATTATCTAATATTATATCAATGTGCATTTGGAGTAAGAACATTCGCTGGGAATAATATTGGCTTTGATATGAAGCTGATATGGCATAGAAGACCTTACTATACCTCTGCTGTATTTATCTGGAACATACAACATTCAAATATCATATTATAATCATTAATCTCTGTCAAAAACCATTGGCAAATACATAAAATATGTATACATATGGAGTCTAAATTGTACCCATGTCATAGCATCCGGCTTAAGTCATTGAATAGCAAGTGACAACAAGACCGAGATATGAACTTTGGACAATGTAAAATAATGATCCTACTGGTTACAACATCGTATAAAGTCAACTCAAATTCAAATTGTCTCTATTTGTCTCCTTCTACTCCAAATACAATACACGTCATCATTTTCACCTTGAAAAAAGTGCTCCTTTTTCATAATTCTAAAAATTAAAAAACTTTGGCCACATCTTGAATATGTAATTCAATTGATAGTACATATATGTACACTTGATAGTACATATATGTACTATAACTATGATGATGACTCTATGTAACTTGTTTTATAGTAAAAATACAATCTTTGACCATCATCACAAGTTCATTATGCAGTGATCGGTTTGGCCTCCTACAATAGGCTATTTTTGGACCATTGCCATGTTTTTATTTGCACACCTATGGTACATTTCCTGTTGTTCAACGTTCCAACCAGATGGGAAGAATGGGGAGGTATGTGAGCAGAGCACTCCCACCTGACCCACAAACAGAACCTGGCTTCTCGGAATTACAAAGGAAATCGACGTTCAAGTGTTACCTTTATGATGACTCTTTTGATAAGTACATACCTAACGATCAAAGGCATTTTTCGCAGGACTTCAGAAGGTAACATAAACACCACAAAATGTCCAAAACTCTTAACCTAAAGTTGAGGCCCTTTAAAGTTGTTCTGTCTGTATCAAACTTTTAAAAGAAAACCACCAGTTCCAGATTGGGATCTACATAATCGCTTGTCTTCCAAATTTGACCTCTAACCTCATCGCACGGCGAATGTTTGTCATTCCGATCCCCGGAGGCGGTAGCGTTAGATGATCGCCTTTTACGTACACTATCCAAATATTGGATTGACAAAGCGGTGTTTAGATCAGCTGGACTCCAGCCAGGTGCAATGTAAGGCAATTATTCTCCCGAAAGCCCTAATTGTTTCATCTTACCAACACTTGTTTTCATCAGGGAGCTCATAACAAGGTGCAAAGGTGAAGCTTTCTTCTCCTTAAATAGGTCAAGTTAATAGTGTTTTTGAACTGTCTGTATATTATATACATGTAAGTCTGTTCTTTGTTGTTGAGCCTTTAGAGTAGGATCAATCACGATATTTACGTACAGAGGTAAATGCAAATTTCAACATTGGATCTCCATAAAACATGTTTGATGGTCAGGAAAAAAGAGATTAGTACCCCAGAAATCTATGTTACTCGTGTGGGTATTATAGCAAATGTTTTAAAACTTTGTTATACTTGAAACGTGATAATTAAGTAATTTTCAGGGTAGAAGACGCCATCTTTGTCCCTGAATAATGAGAAAATTACGGCCATTTGTCTAAGTACGTGCCCTTTTTCCACATGTAAAAAAACAGCAGTTAAAAGCTTTTAGATGGTTCAAAGAGGGTACAAAAGGGAAATGGTGATGCTGGGACAATTAGCCGGAAGCCCACGTTGCAGTTAAAATCATCAGTGGTATTTCTTTCATGCAAATGTCACGGAGTTTGAATGGTAGAGAATAGCCTATGGCTATATTCTATTTTCGGTCTATATTATCTTCCGGTATCGTAAAGGTGTGGCAACAGCTTTCAACTCCATGTTTGAAAAATGTAACAGTGTTTCAAAGTGGTGTCCCTGATATTATTGGAGAAACGTCCTTCTTATGATGTATTAAACATTGTTTGTAGGGCTGACTGTTTGGTAAACCCGGTCGCTACTTTGATGTGAAGGTTGAAGTGGGAATCATAACTCCGTCAGACAGGGAAGCAAACATTTTCGACAAAGGATGTGTGGGTACATTACTTATCTCTGTAGGATATTTTTAAACACTGGCATTTACTCAGTCGGGGGTTCAAAGGGACAGGTGGATGACAGGTGTCCTACTTCCAGTCGCACGGCAGGCGACATTTCATGCAAAAGCAATTAATAAGTAAACCATCCGTGACAACAAGAATGTTCAGACAGGTCGTATTTGTTATATTGAGACACAACTACACCCCAACTACATGGCATATATATACATGTATTTACAACAACGTCTGCAGATCACACAGAGAACTTGTTGGCTATGGTGTACAGAAGCCACACTCCTCCACACTTCTAATGCTGAAGTGCCAAAAAGAAGAATTGGTCTTGGAATTCATTTTGTATCTTTATGTCTGAGATGAAGAATTCTGCATGACTTGTACAACATGCGCATACAGGTAACCTGTGCTAATTTCACCTATTTCTTTCGGATCATGTCGTAAATGATATATTATACATTACAATCATTCACACCCCATTAATGCATTTCTTTATGGACAACCTATTGATGCATATGATATTTCTATCTGTCATATACACTATGAATTTTACAAAAGGGTGAAACACAATCCATTTTGCCATTGATAGCGAGACTATGCCTTTTCTACTTATTGCCCATTCAACATAAAGCCATATGTTACATTACACACTTGCGTGTTTATGTTTCTTACTCCAGGACCTAGTCTGATTTGATCACCTGTAAGTACCATAGGAAATCTGCTTCACCTCTTTTATCTTGTAGATTTTAGCCCTTTTCTATTGATTGTGTTGCTGTAGAGAATTAGATTCTGTAAGGACCTGGAGACAGGGAGTCTGGGTAGAAAGGCTATCATGAATTTGTAATGAGGTCCGCCAGGCAGGGGATTTACTGCCCAGACAATCTCCAAATTGTTTAATGAATGTTTTATAACCTCGGAGTCAATGGATAGGGAGGACATGTTGTTTGTGTTCTCTCGGCAGGTTTTGGCAAACCGTTTTGACATAATTCCTCATTCTGAGCTGTAAAGACAGAGATGCTTGGAGAGGCAGAGAGGACTTACTGAAAATTACTCTGGGCAGGCAGGCAGCCCAACATGAGTCTGAGCAATATACTGGAAGGCTCAAGGATATTAAGGTCTACAACTTGTCTCAAGGTCACTGGTAGAAACAGTGTCCTGAAGAATTTGCTGATTTTGACGTTTTTCTGTTCCAAGACAATACAACAAGTATGCCTTAAAGAGTCAACTTTGAATTTTAAAAGAAAATTTTGCTCAGACACATTTATTGATGTTAATGGACAGATTGCTAATTTCTTAAGTACTGGTAATTGGATGAGAAAAGGGAGTAAATGATCTGGTAAAGAAAAACTTTAAACTTCAGCATTTGAATACTCCAGCAAAGAAAACCTGGAGGCAATATAACGTTTTATATTGAATTTTAGAAAATTTTCTATTTTGACGTAAAACACTTTTTGATATAATCCAGCCAGCAGAGATGGTATCTATGACCACACAGTAGACACTGCCTATTTACATGTCTGAATCCGCTCACGCAACAGTACAGTCTGCCCTCAAGCAAAGCAGTAAGGACGACAGCCTAACGATTTTCGCAGCAGGCTTGGGTGATTCTGTATACAGGAGTGTACAAACAAGGGACATTGCAAAAGTCTCTCTCTGAAAGACGGACACTCTGTTTGTAAGTACCTATGTAGATTTGCTACTGTTGGTACATACATGTATGGCCTACATGTAGCTATGAGGAAGGCAGAACATGATTCTCACTTTGTATTATAAATCTGAGTGAAAGCAGAACAGGTGCCAGTTCCATTCATATTCTTGTACTTTCCCATCTTTTGGGGAGTGGTGATGGTTGGTTTATGTGCTTTAAAAAAAGATACTCTCATCAAATTCTATGCTACGAACAAAATATTATCTTACCTAACAGATACAACGACCAAAGATACAATCTTCTTTTGATATAGCAGATGAATGTTGTAGTTAGTATTAGGCTCAGATTAACATTTTGTCCTTCTTTAATGCTTTTTAAAGAGATCCATCATGCATGAGCCAAATGCAAATTCCATTCATTTGAAGGTCACATTCTGATGTTTTTACAAAGGAGCCACAACATGTAACATTACATGTGTCCCCTCCATCAGGAATGGTACCTGTCAGTATTTCCTAATGAAGGCTTAAGGCAGCTGAATACCTGTGACAGCATGGTTCCTATAAGTGGTCGTGTCTAGCATATCTTTCGATTACCCTTGTGTAAGATGTCTCAGTTTGCCATACATCTGGGATAGTCATTGCTTCCTGGGGTCTTGAAAGGTTGTGTTGTGTTATTTCCCAATAGAGTAATACTGTGCAAAGAATCTGACAGGGGGAATTATGCCAGGAAGTTTTCTTTAAAACAAATGTTGACTGATGACTTGGCAATAGCTCGTGTTCATAATTGATTCCTGTTGAGTAGGCTCATATGATGTTATGATTTGTCTGCTCATGTCATATTATGGAAGAAAGTTCAGCTTACTTATTTGAAGGGAAATTCTGTATGATGCCATTTAAGTTTTTATTAGATGCTAATTCAAACTTTTGAAAAGAAACTATCACTTTTTAAAAATTGCTCAGAAAAAATGTGATGCAAACAAGCCAGGGAAATTTGGTAGTCTGCAGCTGTAATGCAAGCATCAGCTTTAGACCTGTGTTAAAATTTGAGTTGAAGTCATACATTTTGTACTTAAGTCCCGCCCTTTCCTTCATCAATAGGTTGGCACTCTAGCCAAGTTTCCGCCTGGATGGAGAAAGTTCACCACCTTTGAGGCAAATTTATGGCTTTCTTTCCTTGCTGGGCAGAATTGGAAATGGCTTACAGGGAGGGATGTAAATCAGATGCCTTCTTAAGTAAATCTGCTCAATTGGAAGTGATAGCAAACATTATTTACTAGCCTGACACTTGCCAACTATTGGCAGGCACACGCTGCTTGGCACAGGGTATGAAACAACTAACTATAGCTCATTCTAATTGAGGGAGGCAGGGAAAATACATGTACTGCCCAGGTGGCCTGAGGTAATGTGGCAGTTTTTGGCAGAGAGATCTTTAACATTGATTTGAAGACTCAATGAAAGAAAATGTGGAAAATTTTTGTTAAAAGCTGCATAATACCCCAGACATTTACTGACAACCTTTAAAAATGGCTGGATACCAGTTGGCCAGTCCAAAATGCCCTTGACCCTGTTTTGGCCTGTACATGTGCATAGCCTGATTGAAAAAGCCAGGTGATGTGTGTAAGTACAGGGTTGACAAGAAGAGGAAATTTGGTTCCCAAAGTAAACTTATAGACAGTTGACAGATGGGTACAACTTGTTATCACCAGTGTGGGACAGATTAGGCATTACTTACTGATAACTTTTGGAGTGCTTTGCATTCTTTCCTAGTATCAGGTTCAACTGTTGTCACTTTTGTGGGAAGGACAGAACTGAATGCAGTTGCAATTGATCTTTCAATAGATACTGTATGATCAAGGAGCTTCATATGATTAGAGTTAACCCTCTCCCTGCTTTCTAACCCTTTAGCTAATACAAATTTGGAGCTAAATAGCTACCTTAGTAGGGACAAGGTTAAAGTTCTTGGAAGTGCAGTTTTGTGATACAAGGTAACACAAGATGTGAATAGCAACTCAAATTAACTTTCCTCTGAACACATTGAAAAACAGAACAGTTGTGTTACTATAGTGCATTAGTGTTTATTAGATTAGATTTTATAGGATTATGTCTCATGAAATGTTGAATAGTTTGTACAATATGACATAAAGCAGATCATTCTGTTTGTATAGATTATAATATCAATAATTAGTTCCAAGCTCTTATTCTTTATCATAACAGAACCAGTTTCAAACACGTAACTGTTGGACAATTTAGATGGTTTGCCTTAAGGCAGAAATTTGGTCTGAAAGAATTACTTTAAATCATATTTCTTTATCGTTATTTCTTTTTTGAAAAATCACTGTGTATCCCACACAGCTGATCCCTTGTCATACCATGGTGACATATCGTCCCCATCAGATGGGGTATAAATATTGCATGTGTTTTACTGGTTCCTTTTTCATCTTCAATTTCCTGCCAGCTAGAGACACATTGATCCGGCAGGACCGTGCACGACTTCTCTGTGACAAGTTAATGTTTTGCGGAAGTAGTTAAATCAAGCGGACAGGGGGTCCATTGCAAAGACTATTGGATGTAATCTAATTCTATTTCCTACGGAGTCCATCACATGCTCGCTTTGTGATTCCGTGTTTTTCTGTTTGTATTCTGATCAGGTGCAGGAGTGGCGTACAGACAATCAGCGGGCCAGGCGACCATTGTAGGCATCGGGAGCGGGGAGGTGTCAGACAGAGAGCGTGTTTACCTACGGCTGTTTGGGTTGAAAGCGCGGCGGTTTCGTTAGCAAGGATTGAACAAATAACTTATACACAAGAGCCAACGGACAGCGATTGTCTCTGATATAATTAAACCATCGACCGAACTTGGAAACCTGGGATCCGGTTACGCGATGGCGAAAGATCTGCCGACAAAAACAGTAACAGTGTCCATCTTATCTGATCACCATGCGGGGCCACTCAGACTGTTTGCAGTGCAGTGAAAGGTGAGATTGCTCTCCATGTGGAGACAACAATGCCCCGTCTGCCTTCTGCCCCTTTCATATTGTCCACTGTCAGGGCTCACCTGACCACTAGTAAAATAAATTATGTCTGAGTCGGCTGAAAGCGGTGCTGAAGTAGCCTCGTGTGGGCGCACGGCTCTCTAACCTGCCACAGCGAGCGCTGACGTGATTGAAGTCACCTTCGTAGGTAGGTCCTTAGCCTCAGACTACCTGGCCTATTTTTAGGACACCCCGACGGTGGAGTAAACGCAGGTGGGCGGACTTTGGACTTCAAAGCAGGTCATGTCGTGTCCACAAACGTGAGCAGCCGGGGTTGCCGCGGTACCCAGGCCACGCTCTTGTGTCTGAGAGCTGCGGCAGCCCAAGGTTAGCCCTGAACGTCTGTGCATGAGGACACAGACTTACACACGTGACAGTGGACATGACGCACTGCTTTGATTTCCTGAGTAGATATGCAGTGTCGGTGTATAAATCTTGGTGATATTTCAGTCCTGCCGGTCACAGCTAGCTGTGTGTGGAGTATGAATGGTAGGTACCACTTTTTCACACTGTTTCCTTGTTACCAATTCAGTTGCAATGCTAGGACTAAAAGAAACTCTCTGCTATTGAACATGAAAGTTACTTTACTTTTCAAGAGTTACTGCCTTCATTCTATATAAACAACATCACAGCTGTTAGGGGCCAGCAAAAAGTGTTGAAAAGTTGTCATCTCTTTGTTGACAGGTGCAGTTTTCTGTCAGAATGTTGAGATTCTGGTTTCAAACACCTGATATATTTTGACAGTTAGATCAGATATACTGCTTAGTCAGCTGTTACCTGAAATCATACCTGAAAAATCCTTGTTTTCAGTTCTGTAATTTCACAGAAATTTTAACTTTGAAGGGTGTCAACGTGCGGTATGTCTCAGAACTACAGGCAAGTTACTTAGCTTCCTTGCAGAACTTGAATGGCTAAGAGTAAGATGTCAATGGCTTGACCTAAACAAGCAAGAACTGGCCCAGACAGGTTTGTTTGCACGTGGACTGACCACACGTGTTGGTCAGTGTAGGTCAGTTATCGGTCACTCCCCACGCCACCGGACCATACCAAATGCCAGACAACCGATAATCAATTGCTGCTCAATGCAGGATGTGTAGTCTAAGCATGTTTGTTTGTTTGCTGGGCTGGATGAGGTTATTGTGAGGAAGCCACAAGGTAGTTAGCTCGCTGTACTGATATGTCCTGTAAAGGTGTCAATCAGTTATAAATGGCTGCTAGGACAAACACCATGTGCCTGGTATTATTTGCCGCTGAACAGGCCTGTGAGGAACTATTCAGTTATTCCAATTCCTTCCTTCTAGATCTTCCAAAGGAAAAAAAGTGATGGATGAAACAATGAAAGAAATAGAATGAATATACTCGTTTAATACAACCAAGTGTTTTATTAATTTGGAGCTTCAGTGAACATCTGTCACCTTCCTTAGGGCAATTCTGACTAGTTCACATTGCACAGCACAGGTGTCACTGCAAAAATATCTCTTAATTCAGTGACTTACCAACCTGAGGAATCCATTCAGGAAATGAAAGAAATAGTTAGCAATTCATCTAACAACAGCTCTTTCATTCCTGTGGCTTCCTTCACATATCTAAAATGCTTGTGAATCCAACTACTGAAAGTGAAATGACATATAAATAGGAGTGTAGTGCAAGTCATCCCCGCACCTGGATCTTTGCCACAGTTGTTTAGACAACCATCCTTGCCATGCCTTTCCTTTGCCATCACCCAGAGACATTGATTTTAACAATGGAAAGATTGTTAAAGCCTCATTTTCTAGGGTCCCTGTCAACATATTTTCTACATTTTCAAGTTGCTCTTCCTGGCCTGTTAATATCAAAGAAAGAAACATTGAACTTGAAGTTGCAATACTAGTGTGACCTGCTAATATCTTTCAAAGCACTTTTAGGAGGTTTAAGAATCTTCTTGCATTAGGTTTTAAAGAATTGCGAATTTAAGCACTTTGACACAAGTCAGTTCAGCCTTCACCTTAAGCGGATCATTAGTATCATTAACTAGAATTATCAAGTGGTGATTGATAGGAGGAACTGGTGATTAATGGCAATGTCATGTCATTGATACTTAAGCCTGCATCCATCAGGGCTATTACCCTGGGATAAGACTGATTTATGTACTTTGGTGTGTTCAGACATGAGCAGTGATAAGTTAGCTTGTATGTTGTGCTGCATCACTGTTATTAGTGTTAATTATCACCATTTGTTACTTTCAACTATTGATAGGGAAAATCCTCAGCTATCAATTGCAGCTACCCACTCTCTGACATAAATAAATGCAATATTTTTCAATGATTTGTAAATGTTCCTATTTTTATATCACTTTTATGTGCCAAACATCACTGTTATACAGTAATTCTGCCATCCCTTTTCTCATCACTAAATGCATGTACTAGTATGCATCTTTTTGGAGGTCTGAACCTTCCTTGTTTGAGGACCAAAGGCAATCCAGGAGAATGTTATAACTTCATGAAAAGGTATGAGCTACATCTTTGACACTTTGCTCTGCCAGCTGAGCTGTGGAGTTCTGTAGAGGGTTGATCGATCACAGCTTCCCTTGCTTGGCTTCACACCACAGGCTGGAGGTAATAGGCTGATTTGGAACTAAATGGAGGATGAAATGCTGTATCAACACTGAGCACATGCAAGGTGAATCTCAAGGACTTTGTGGGGAAGGGCTTACGTAATAGATGCACAGGTTAGGGTTGAAGGGATGGAGAATTTTCATGCACTACGTGATAATGGGAAGAGTTAGGGAGATCCTTGCATTGCAGAAGCAATAAAAAGTTGCGTTGAAAGGCCTTGATCTGCCCATTACGAGGCGTACTGTGCATCCCAGCCATAAGCTAAAGGTTTCAAGTTCAGAAACAGCAGAATGGAGTACATTGACTCTTTGATGGACTATTGTTTGTTTTCAAATGTGAAAACTTGCCAAAACATGCATATATGTACATTGTACACTGCTACAGAGGTTAGAATTAGAGAGGCACGAGACATTTGATTTTGCCAGCAGGGTTTGTCCAGCACTCGTAGACCATGTGCACAGGATGGTGTCTTCTGTCATCACGTATTCGGCAGCTGATACACTGAGTTAGTTTAGCCCAGAGTGTTCTTCCCTCAGGCATGGTAAGTAGGCCAGTGATGTACCAGCTCTGGTGATGACCCTGTACCTTAGAACTATTTACCTATTGGCACCCTGTACAGTACAACAACACTGGTCTTTGTGGAGACAGAGCTCTGCACTTTTCCTGGATCAGGGTGAGGCATGAAAGAGATGTTTCAGGTTTGGGATGGAGCCAGCTTTGCAAGAAGCAGAGCAGAAGGGTATAGCTTAGAAGCTTTATACAAAAAACATAGCTTGAACAGAAAACTAGTCATATCCAAATGGAAATGGAAGCTTTATTGGTGCATATAGTTGCAGTTGTGGGGTACATTTCATTTGATAGCAGGTGTATGAAATGTAGTAGGCGTTTCAAAAACTCAATTTATTGCTGACGAATGATACATTTTTATATGTACATAACATCATTTTACACTATTGGCAATGTCTAGATGATTTTTTTTAAATTTTGAGGGTAGATTAGGAACATGAGCTTATCAAATTTTCAAAGGTATTTCCTGGTGTATCCTTTTGGAGTCTCCGTGAAGGTACGGTAACTAATTTTCTCCACAAGCTTTCAGTTTTGAAGCCATAACATAGCATAACATGTCCTTGCCATTGAGGTTACTGCAGGTCAGAGGAGATTCTAGATTTTACCTGCATGATTCAGAGCTTAGCAATTGATTCCATATAGAGAGTGGTACGTGCAGTTTGCAGTAGCAACAACCTTGTCCTGAGACGTCCCGTGTATTGGAGATTAGACGCTGATTGTGAAGTCGGAGCGGCTCAAGAACAAACATGTAGCTTGTTGTGACGAGAACCTTGTCCCTAGATGTCCTCATCAGTTTTGACGACGCTGCGCTGTTTACCGTCCTGATCCCAAATGTCCCAAGGTTGTTCAAGTCATATACTACGATGCCGTTTCATGCCGCCAGCTTTTCTTTACATACAAACAGAAAAGCAAGCATTCCGACTAACATGTCCCGGCTGCATTGTTGACTCCCGGACAAGCGAGGGCCACAAAGTGGTTCAAGGTTATACAAGTGGTTTAGTCGCTAAGCCGCTGTAGACAACATCATCTGCTCCAGTTCTGTGATTGGTCCTTGTTCATCACTTACGGAGCAGGTGTACCTATTAATTATGCATTATCCCCTGTCCATGTCCAGCCACACGAATTTGATAGCTTCGGAAAGTCCACTTGTGGAGAGTATTGCACCCAGGGCAACAGGGACAGGGGCTTTGAATTCAAAGGGATTAACGCAGGTTCAAGCTGGTTGTTGAAACAAGTTCAAACCACTTGACGACACCTGACCCTACCTTGAATTGCGGCTATTTTTCTTTTGCGTCTGGGTGTCAATACGGATCAGCGCGCCCCAGACAGTGTTTTGTTTAGCGAGGGGGGCAAGGCTTTGGAGTGAGGGGAATTTCTAAGGTACAACAACAGGTGATTCTGGCAGCATGCCAGCAAGTGACCTGACAAGGTAATGTCAGGCTAACGGATTATCATCCCTCAAAACAAGGAGTTGAGTTTCACACCTGATTATCTCACAGGCACCCCCTAGCTCTGGGAAAGGTAAGGAAAATCCCAAGTACATTCCGACAGGTGGTTCAAAGGTCTGACGTTAACCTTATTAATCATCCTGAACAGACTCTATGGTGCCGTTTTCTCTTGTGTTTGCCCTGTCCCAATTTCATGGCCAATCTCAGAGTTGAATGGCAGGCATAGCTGAGGATTGCAGGCGGAGAATTAGTCTTTCCGCCACATTTCTGTTTTTGAAAGACCCGTATTGGGTTCCCCTGAACCTACAAACCATCCTCTATAGACAAGTGGCCTGCTGGCTGTGAGACAGATTAATCTGTGAGGCAAGAGCAGACTATAGACAAATTTTGTCCCATGTAGAGTGTGATTGACACCATTTACAATAGGTGGTGATGGCGTCCATTTTGTGCAGACTTGTATTTTGGTCAGATTTGGTTGCCTTTGCTTTGTCAGTGTGGGATTCTTTTCTGCGGCAGGAAAGACGATAATCTCTTTGCTGTTTTGGTTACGTAAGGTGAGTTTGGCCATAACAACACATGGACTTGACACACCAGTACAATTAAGTCAGGTGTTCAAAAGTTTGATGTTCAACAGGTGTTTTTTCCTACACCGACAGTATGTCATGTAGTCTTCTCCAACTGATCTACAATTACGCTGTGCAGTTTCCCTTTGTATACCAAGAAGTATCAAGACATAACAAAAGCAACATTGTTAAAGTTGCCTGCATTTGCAGGTGATTTGAGACAAAAGCTATCCTAACAGGCTGTCTCACCTGGGCAGTTTCGGGTCAAGGTGTATCTGTTAAGGTGAATGAAAGAGTGATTGTTGCCAGCCTTTTAACCAAACACTGTCCCCTTAATACTTCAAATTACTGTTGACGTCAGCACGCTCCCGGCCATTGTCGAAGGAAACCCTTTATCATCACCCATTAAATGCATCTTGATTTCAAATGGATTAAAGACGTTATGCCACCTGACAGGCTATTGTCACAGCTAATGCCCCACAACTTCCCCAGCAGATTAAGTACAAGTGATAGAGTTTGACCTTGGGCCTTCTCAAGTTCATCCCCAAACCAAGCTGATTACCAGCTGCAGGTGTTGAAGGTAACTGGATAGCTGAGGGGCAAAGCCAACCACTTAAGAAATGTAGTCACTCACCTGGTCTACACATGACTGCATTTTCCCCTGCCCCTGAAATAGATGATTATCTTGGCCCAATCTAGTTGCAGGTAAGATGGGAATTAGAGATGGCTTATGTCAGTGAGCACACAAGGACAACTGAAGTTGGGGTCGTCATCGACTATGATGGATGAACATCATGTCAGTGAGCAGTGACACGATGCTTTCCAAAGCTTTCCAAGCCATTTGTATTGAAGGAGAGCAAAATTAACACAGAACGAACGAGAAAAAGATGTAAACTGAGCTGAAATGATGGAAGGGTTTAGCATGATTTGTAAGAATACTCAAAGGGTACAAGGATGTAATTGTGTAAATTATATGTATCATGTCTCTATCATATCTCTATGATATGGTTATAATGTGCAAAGAGAAAATTTTGAAGTTCTTTTCAGCCAGATGACTGATACCACTGAACCTCCCCTTGATGACACTGATGAAATATCTGGTATGAAGCCAGGAAAGGTGTTAACAAAGTCAATCAAAAGGATTGGTTAAAACCTTTTTTGCCTTGTGTATGTGCATGTTTTTGTTGACTTATATGTTTCTTATCTCTGCAGTATTGATTGTTCAACTGAGATAAAAGCTTACACACACAGCTAGGTTTCAGTGTCAAATGGTTTACGGCACAGCTGACTATTCCTCTAGGCATAAAGATTGATTTATTTTCAGTCCATTTGCCATAACATTTTACTGCATGTGACAAATAGTGTAATCGTAAACAAGGACGGCATCTAAAATATAACACAGACATATTGTTTAACTGAGTGTATTCATGTCTTTTTACTGACAGGGCAAGTGTTTATGCTACAGTGGCAGAATTTCTGTGAATAGATTCAAAGAAAACATTCTTTGTCTTCAGACTTGCTCAGCTGCATGACAACATTGTCTCCTTCACAATAGATAATTACGTGACTCATCAACCCATTCCCCAACTAACATGATAGCATCAGTGATAATTTATGCTAAATACAACAGCATTGTCTTATTGAAAAACAGCATGCAACTTTTTAAAAGACTGGGGGAAAAATAAACTTTTCTTTGAGTGAAAAATAAAAAGAGAAAAGCACTTAAGATCTCAGTCAATTGTTGTGAGGAGAGGTGGGTAACTTTGTGAATCACTGCTTTATGATGACATTCTTGTGTAATTGCATTTTGCTGCAGGTACCACGTGTCAGGTCTGTCTGGATGCCTGTGAGTCCTGGGAACGTGAAGCCTGCAGTGGTGTGTGACACAAGTTGTGAGGTAGGCTACCTGCAGTCTTTACTTCCATATCTGAGTTACAGATAACCATGTTTGTCTGTATGTTGTCTTTATTTAGCCTCTACCAGGCTTTGGGACGCAGCTGAAAAGAGTAGGAGTTGGCCAAAGAGACAGACGATATGCCAGGGCAGTTGATCCATGCTATCTAAAGAGAAAAGTTGGGAATGGCACTATAGTGTGGACCAACTATGGCATATCATCTGGGTTTTTTTTGCCAACTTTTACCATTTCCTGAAGCCTGGCAGAGTCTAGTCTTCATTCTGCATGTGGAAGCCATATTAGTCCAGTCTGTAATTACCTGTGAAAACCAGGTGAGACAAGTGAAAAGGTAAACAACAACAAATGGCTTCTGTGTCACCTAAACTTGTCTTGACGGGAAAGAACTAAGTTTCTTTTTGCAGGAATTATACCAGCTTTCAATGAAGGATTTTGATACTGTAGAATTGCAGAATTTTGGACTTTTTGATCAGTCAGTTTCATGTTATATCCAACCTCAACTGTTCCACATCCTAATTTCCCTGACCGTAGAGTTGAAAATGGCTCTCTGAAATGCCAGGGAGACCACAATGCAAACCCGTGAAATCTCACATTCAAGCCTCAAAATGCTAGTTAGATTACATCTAAAACCCCTGAAATCTCACAATCAAGCCAGTGCCCTCCAAAGTTCCTGCCCCTGCTCCCAGCTGCCAACTTTCCTGATGATGGACATCCTGAGAGACAAGGATTCATCTCCTACTTTACTCTCTCCTGACCTGAAAAGAACTTCCATTTGTCTTGACCAACTTTCAATTTGCAGGAGAGCTTCTTAGTGAATTAAAGACCTAAACCTTCCTATGATGCTGTCAGGCCCAATCGGCTGACCAGCCATTCAGGCGTCCCTTCCAGCTCATCAATTAGATTAAGAAGTGCCTCTGGAATTAAAGGCCAGACCTTTGCTAAGGAGTCCTGTCAGTCTGCATTGGCTGCAGGCTATATAAGCTTAGCTCCATAGATTGATCACTTCCGAGGAAGCACTCGAGAGCAAAGTCAGAGTAGGTGATATGGACAGGATTTGAAAGGGATGTAACATCACGGACAGGTCTGAGAACAAAAACTGTCGCTAATGGAAAGTACCATTAGGAGAAAGTCCTTGGATCCACAGTGTGAATAGCAGTCCAGTAAATGTCCAGGCTCCACACTCAATTAGGCAATGTTAAGAGCTGTAACAGGTCAGTGAAACATTGTTAGTAATCAAACATACATGTACAAACATTGTGGTCAAAAAAAGATGATATCGGCCATTTTCCATCACTTTTCTTCACTTCTTACTTTTCTTGAAAAGTGGCAACAGTAACTTTACAACATATACATGTACATAATGAGAGCAGGGGTGCCAGCCAACCTCATTATGTGAATGGTCTGTTCAGAAGTCTGTGGTAATCCTTGCTCGGAGGCAAGATTTAGCGTTGATTACAGGGCTTGATACGACCTTACTGAACACTGCCCCGTCCAACACATGGCTGCCTCCAGATGAAAGTAAACCGACCAACATTGGGCAGAAATGACAGGGTATTACATGCATAAGACATATATACTTTTCTTCTTCATCTACACTCAGCTGGTAACTGGAGTTAGGATTCATCAAGGACAAAAAAAATCACTTCATAGGGGAAGAGATCCTCCTTCTTGTAGATATCTTTGCATTGAAAGAAAGAAGATAAGGTTGATTTCCTTGGCTGGCTAGAAAGAAAGGGTTAGGATGAAGGAAGATGATAAGAGCTGCACCAGACATGGAAGACTTGAAATGATTGGAGACAACCTGAATTTAATGCCACCATGCAGGGCTAGGGCATACTGTTGTATTCAACTAGTAAATATGGGATAATCTGATGTACACCGCTGACAGACATGGGGAAACAGCCTGTGGGAATGTTATGAGGGTGGTCTCTGTATCTCATCCATTCAAATTTGTGATACTGAAAAGGTTGATTGACAGCCTAAGTAAATGATGGGCAACTAGTCTCACTAAGTTCTCCTCAGGGTCAGGAAGATAAATGTTGAGAAGGAGACAAACAACTCAGGTAACTTATATGTCTTAAAACAGTCTCTTGATGATATGTTGTTTGATAATCTTCAGATGCATTGTTGGTATACTATTCTTTAGGTGTCTTCTATTCAAACACCTTAGCCAAGACAAAGAAAAAAAATGTACATTCAAAGACAGACCAAGAAGGTCTAGAACAGCCAGGCTGCCTGCATTTTCTTCTCTCAAAAGCTGCAAATGAACAGTTCTTCTTTCTATCTTACATGTTTTCTCGCATTGCGGTGATACCATGATCCACTATTTGAACAGCTATGTACATTTACATTATACAGAATTTCTACAGCCAAGCACACAGGTGAAAATACAGTAAGCAGCCTGAACAACTCCATCATGAACAGATAACATCACTAAATAGAGGTTAAGATAAGTCAGAAACATGATACATGTACTTAAAGTAGGCTTTCCAACTTTCAACATTACCTGTACATTGACGGATCTTGTAAGAAAATGTTTTATGTGGTATGACATGAAAATTACCAAATTGTGAATTGACTGTGGGAAATTTAGCAGTGTCCTAGAGGATGACTGAATTTAAACATTGTGTCCTTGATTTTATAAATGTCATTATGATTATCGTATGTTAGAGCCACTCCATACAATAATGATTTCTGATTCTTTCATCCCTTGGCCTGGAATCTTTTCACTTTTACTAACTTTCATAACATCGTACATGTATTATAAATGTGTTGTGATCTCCGTATAATTTATCAACAATTAGACACTCTCACTCCATTAGTCTGAGTTATGTCCAAATATTAAAAGATAAAACAGAGATGCTGACAGAAACCCACAGCCAATCATCCCCGACCATTTTTAGTTGGTCCAGCATGGCAGGTGCATGTCACCAGCTTGGGGGGAGGGGGGCAAATCCTCAATCTCACCCAAACACTACACATGTCAACTCTCACCGAGATGGTCAAGACCAGGGACTTATTATCTCAGCTGAGAAAACAAGGCTAGAAATAGTAACAAAGCAAAGTAAGCTTGTGTGGTTTAGCAGAGGTCAGTAATTGATACTAAAGCCCCTGGGATTTGTTGAGATGTTTATCACCAAATTTGATGGTCATTTCACAGTTGGATGACAGGTGTTAATTGAAGCTCTTAGGGCCTTTTATTTTGGAAATAGCCAGCCATTGTTTGGAAGGTCAACACACAAATGCTGCCGCACGTTGGCATGGACATGAAAAAGGAGGTGCAAACTGGCCAGAGGAAGTTGTCGAAACAATGACTTTGCATACCATATCCACCCTTCAGCAGGTTGTGTGCATAATGTTAATGTTCTTATCTTTCTTTCCTTCTTAACTATCAAGATACTACATTGAAGTTCTAGGATGTAGGAACAGTGACTTTGCATACCATATCCACCCTTGATCAGGTTGTATGTATTACATTACTTGTATTTAGTATGACTCTAATTAATGTTTTTAGCTTTCTTCCTTTTATCAGGGACATTACAAGGTGTTATATTGATGTTCTTGGTTGTATTTTATTTATCTTTTATAAAGAGAAAACTAAATTTTTCAATGGAGAGTACAACACAGTGATAGGGAAAAATCTAGTTGTTTTCTAAGCAGCATGGAAGGTTCAGCTACCAATCATTTGAAGCATCTGTCATTTATTTATCCCTCATTAGCCACAAGTCAAGTGAGGTACTAAAGCCTGCCTGAGCATGCTGCATGCTGTCCTGAAGGACAAGAGAAAGTTTGCGTGCACTTGTGACTGGCACACGGCGAACTTGTCAGACACAGGTCTGCTGAAGTATGCTTGTGACTCAGGTAACGTCTGGGCACTACAGCCACAGAGAGAAGAAAGGAAAACAGCTGTCCTGGTCTGTCTGGGCAAAGTATATACATTACACGTTAAAACACAACTTATCTTGATAACATCTAAATAACCGTGAGTCAGTTTGAGTCTTTCAGGTAGCTTCACAGACAAGTACAAAGGAAACGGGCAAGCACAAGTACGTTCACCTTGTCGGGACTACAACAACAACTGTTAGATCAAAGTATGATATGTTTCTTTTGTTCCCGCAAGATTCCGAAGGGCACTGTTCAGTCCAAACTGCAACCTAGCCTATTTGGACCAATCAGAAATAGACGCGGTATAACGGATATCAGCGGTGAACCAACCAGGTGTGGACATATGGGACCTGTCTGGGCAGGTTTCCTACACAACAGGAAGCGGCGGCAGGTGTGGTTGTTTGAACCGCTGCACAGGCATACCTTGTGGTAAGCCACTCCCCACCTGTGTAATGCGACCTTTAACATGAACTCAGGTCATAAAGTGAAGGCCAGCAGTAAAATTTTACTAAAAAAACAGCAAAACAGTGAAGATGTTGGATGAGTCTATATTACTGATGAGGAACTTCTCATTTCAGCAAAAGTATGATTCGACCTTTGCATCAAAATTCTGAATGACACTGTCATAGCAATTGTCTTGTACTGAAGTCATTTCACTCCAAAAAGTTGCAGTCAGGCATTTATAAACGTTTTACCTGAAACATGACACCGTGAGCATTTCCTTGTCTGAAGGTGGAATTAAGTGACGGGAGGAGGAAGTTCTCTTACGTCATCTCTCCAGTGGGCTCTTTCCTTGTCTGCATTGCTAAGTGTTTTACCAGGATGCACCTGTAAGGAAATACAGACTGGACAACTTCCAGTCACTCAGACATGGACTTTTTTGGTATCAGGTAACTGATTCATTAGTTTGGGGCAATTTTCTTGTCTAGTCTTTCAAGTGGGGATGTCCTAGGGTGGGAGACAGATCATGGGTCTTAGTACCCAGTATATGACACAAAGGCTACAGTCAAACAACAACCTTGGTGCAGCATTTCTTATCTAAATTATATGATCCTTGTCTTCAAATCTATCATACCACTGGGTATATACATTTCTCAGAA